GGGATCCCCTACGTGGAGGCTCCCGGAGAGGCGGAAGCCAGCTGCGCCGCGCTGGTGAAGGCCGGGAAGGTGTACGCGGCCGCCACGGAGGACATGGACTGCCTGACCTTCGGCAGCCCCGTGCTCATGCGACACCTCACGGCCAGCGAGACCAAGAAGCTGCCCATCCAGGAGTTCCACCTGAACCGCGTCCTGCAGGACATGCAGCTCACCTGGGAGCAGTTCGTGGACCTGTGCATCCTGCTGGGCTGCGACTACTGCGCCAGCATCCGCGGCATCGGGCCCAAGCGCGCCGTGGAGCTCATCCGGGAGCACAAGTCCATCGAGAGGATCGTGCGGCAGCTCGACACCAAGAAGTACCCCCTGCCCGAGAACTGGCCGCACAGGGAGGCCCAGAAGCTCTTCCTGGAGCCCGAGGTGGTGGATCCCGACGCCGTGGAGCTGAAGTGGAGCGAGCCGGACGAGGAGCGGCTCGTGCAGTTCATGTGCGGGGAGAAGCAGTTCAGCGAGGAGCGGATCCGCAACGGCGTGAGGAGGCTGAGCAAGAGCCGCCAGGGCAGCACCCAGGGCCGCCTGGACGACTTCTTCAAGGTCACCGGCTCCATCACCTCGGCCAAGCGCAAGGAGCCCGAGCCCAAGGGAGCGGCCAGGAAGAAAGCCAAGCCCGGCCCGAAGCCCAGCGCCGCCGCCACAAAGGCTAAAAAGGAGAAATGACGGGGCTGGGCACCCACAGACCGCTGGGATTGCGGGCTTTTGGGGGCTCGGCGGGGAATTTTGGGCTAATGACGAACAGTTAGTGCTGGGAAGGAACGGATGAGGCTGGGAGAGGGGAGAGCTGGAGCAGCTTCTGGACATGAACACTCCCAAAGTTAAGAATTCCAGCTGCAGAGCAAACCAGGGACAAATTAGATTAACCCAATCCTGTCCATCCCAAAAGAGGTAAGATGGGAGTGGAAGGCAAGCTGGAATTGGGAAGGAGGCTTCAAATAATGAGGTAAAATTTTCTCTTTAATGGGAGTTTATTTAGGTTTTTCTTTCCCTTCTCATATTCACTTGTTTAAAATCCAGTTGTGATCCCAATTCCAACAAAGTCCTTAGTACATAATCCAAGGAAAGCTGCTGGCTGCAGCTCTCCCAGCCTGAGTCTTGCTTAAAAATAAAAATATCCAGGAGCCTAGAAAAGCAGCCTCTTCACCCCTGAATTCCAGAGGCATCTTTCCGTGTTGTGCACACTGACAGATCCTGGGCTGGAAATTAGGAGTTAAAACCTCTTTTGAGTTCTTATTTAATTCTGTATTTTTTGTAGTTTTGTTGCTTGTTGGAGCCACGTGCAGGGTTTTGTTTCTAGAATAAAATGTAAGAACCAAGACACTGTTTCTCTTTTTCCAGAGAAATGGCTTAAACCGTGGTTGTAAATGAAAAAAATCCCACTTTTAGATGGAATTCCACAACAGCAACAAACCAAGCACAGGCAGGAGCACAGAAAGTTCCAGTTTTAAGCTTTTTAGATACTTTGTAGACATCAGAATTCCATGGGTTTGCTCTCTGCCAGTTTGGGAAAGAAGCTGGGCTTGTTTTGCGGGGAAATTAAGACTTATTTCATATTCCTTATCCATAAATATTGCTAAAAGTGGGATTCTGCTTCCTTGCTGGGGATTCTCTTAAATCTTTCAATCCATAATCGGTCCTAACAGGAATTTCTTAATTAAATATTCCTCTTTTATCTCCGAGGATCTTCATGGTGAGTATGTGGGAAGGAACAGGAATGGTTTTGTGGTGGAGGGATGAAAGATGATTTAAAAGTAATAATATTTGCAAATAACATCCCTAAATTGTCTGTTTTCCATATGTCACAGTTTCTAGGAGTTACCTTCCAGCTTTCCACGTGTCAGCACCTTGTTGGGATAAAACCTCGGAGAAGAATTCCTTAAAAGCTGCTTTTCCACCCCCCCCTCCCTGCCCTGTGCTCCGTGGTATTCCACTCCATGTTTTCCTCCCTTTCCCATTCCAAACAGAGATTCCCGCTGTTTCTGCTGCTGATATTAATTAATTCCAGTGTTATTAGTTATTAATGACGTATCCATTAATTGCAGTAGCACTGTTTATACCAGGAGCAGGCGGTGTGGGAAGCCGGGGATCCGAGAGGGCACGGCTGCTGGCAAGAAAGGAACCCCGTCCCAGTGAACCCAGAGCAGTGGGAGCTCTCAGCTTCCGGGGAGATCCCGCTTTATTTAGCACAGAGAAACCTCTGAAGTGCCTGAGCTGCTGCCACAAACTTCATCCCGACCCTCGCCAGACATCCCCAGAGGGCTCCCTGGAGCTGGGGCCGCTCCGGCCTCCTTTCCCGCCGCAGGATCTCGTCCAGCACCGCGCGCAGGGATTTCTCGTACGGCACCGCCGTGCCCCGGGAGCCGTGGATGGGGCACTGCCGGCCCCGGGACACGTCCTGCTGGGCCCCCTGCTGCTGGGAGTGCTCTGCTGGAATGGCCCTGGCTCCCACTTCTGTTCCCAGGCTTTTCCAGGCTGGACGGGTTCTGTTGGTTCCTGTGGCTCTCAGGGAGCAGGGAGGCCTGTCCAGGGGGGCTCCTCCATATGGAGTCACACAGAGGCTCTGGGAGGGATGGAGGCTTTTGCCAGGAGTGCTGGATGTGTGGGCATATTCCTTCTCCAGCTCCAGAGAGGGCCCTGGAGACGGGAACACGTTCCCTTCCCGCTGGAGGATTTTATCCAGCACCGCACGGACGCTCTTCTCGTAGGGCACGGCCGCAGCTCCCTGGGAGCCGTGGGCTGGGCACCGGTGTCTCGAGGACACGTCCTGCTGTGCCACCTGCTCCTGGGAACGCCTCACTGCAGTGGGCTGGGCTCCCAGTTTGACTTCCAGGTTTTTCCTGGCCATGTGCATCGTCAGGCCCGGGCAGGTTGTGCCGATTCCCACGGCTCCGGGGCGGGGTGGGCTGTCCGTGGGGGCTCCTCTGCCCGGACTCTGGCAGGAATCACTGAGGCTCCGGGAGGGAATGGAGCCTCTCCCGGGAGCCGAGGATCTGCGGCGGCGGCGGGTTCTGGGATGGGCTGAGGCTCTCGTGGACGCTTTCCGACGGATGGAGGCCCTCGATGGGCGCCGGCTCCTGGTGGGAGGGGGGCTCCCGGAGGAGCTGGACGAGCCGCAGCAGGACAGGTGGCCTCGCTCCACCAGCTTCTCCAGGTCCTCCCACAGCGTCTGGCACACCCAGGAATCCTGCGGGAAGGGCTCCCCGGTCCTCTCGGGCATCACCACGTCCTGCAGCTCCTGGGACGCCGTGGTGCAGGGGGAGCAGTCGGGGCTGCATCCGCACGGGATGTACAGGGAGCTCCCGGGAGCTTCTGGACGCTGGGCAGGGGTCACCTGAGCCGGGGGGGAACTGGGACCCGCTGGTGCCGCTTGGCTGTTCCGGGAGTCCCTGGCCCGGCTCCCGGCGCACTTCCAGGTGTCGGGTGTCCCCAGCGGCCGGTGCCGAAGGCGGATGGCCAGGGGCACGGCCACGGTGGCCACCAGCAGGAGCAGCACGGAGAGCAGGGCGCTGCCATCGCTCATGGCTCCCCACGGCCCATCAGGACCGCGCTGGGAGCCGGGGGATGGCTCCCAGTGTTCCCTGGTGTCAGCGTGGTGATGTCACAGCCCTGCTGGGGGACACACCTGTGTGATGTCACAGCCCTGTTTGTGATGGCACAGCCACAGGGCACCCAGAGAAAGGGGCTCCCGGTGGGCACTGGAGGCCCCTCTGGAGCAGAGCGGGCGTGACATTCTCGGCCAAGTGGGACCCAGGGGGGAGGAGGAGGAGGAGGAGGAGGATGGTGTCACCTCCTGGCTGGCAGAGCAGCAGGCGTGGATTGTCCCGTGGGACACTGCAGAGTCCTTGAGGAGGGAGCAACAACCAAACCAACCGTGTGTGATCCACAGCATTCCCGTCCTGGATCCAAAGCCAGCGCTGTGCCAGCTCCTGGTGGGAAAAGGAACCCCATTAGGGGGGATAGTGGAAATGTTTTCCCTGGAGGGTGTTGGTGATGAAGAACTGCACTGGGATGGGGGGTGTGAGGGGAAAAGGGGCACCCTGTGGGGCACAGGCAGGAATGTCTCCATGGGAGCACCTGCCCTGCCACACCTGCCCCAGCACTGCCACCTCATCTGTGTGGCAATGGAAGCAGCTGGAGGGTGTCACTGTCCCCATGGCTTGAGGAAGGGAGGGTCCTGTCTGACTGGTTTGATATCCTGGATAAGATCCCCCATCCCAGAGATGGTGGAAGGTTTGTGGATGTTGTTTTTCAGGGTGTCAGGAAGAGTTTGGATCCCGTCCCTCCCAGCTCCTTCTGGAGACGGTGTCCATGGAATCCTGGAATGGTAGGTGCCTTGGAAGGGTCCATGTGGGAGATGAGCAGGTCCAGGCTGAAGGAGTGTCTGGGCAGGGCCCAGTGGGAGTAGGGAATGGGGCTCCACGTGCCTGGAGAGCAGTTGGGACCCAACTGGGAGGTGCTGGTGACTCCGGCCGGGGATCGAGTCCCAGAGCCAGGTTTGGAATCGTTCTCCCCACCCCCAGCTGCAACCTTTGGGACCTCAGGCCACCACCTCCAGATTTCCGGGGGAGAAATCCAACTGGTGGCCTCAGGGATTGCAATAATCAAACCACATTATTACACCTGATTAATGCAATTAGAGCTTGTGCAGAGATCAGATTTATTGAACTGAAGTACGGGAATGTGGCCAGAGGAACAACCCAGTGACTAGTGGGTAAGACTGGGAAGGGCTTTGCTGATGCCCAGGGTGGGACTGACAGTCCAGAGTCTGGTGAGGCTGGATTTGTGTGGGATGGTGGGGAAGAGAAGAGGGAAGTTGAACTAATGAAATGAAGAAGGAAGGAAGGCAAAAGGGATCTGAGCCCTGTTTTCCCCAGGGACACACACACAGAGGGACATGCTGGAATGGCCCTTTATTGCTCCCTGGTGGGATCCAGGGTCTCTTGGTGGCTTCAGTAGGTGCTGAAGATGGCCTGGATGTGCTCCCAGTTTTTTGGCCTGTAGGTTCCGACCCCTGTGGCAGAGGGATGTGTGAGGGTGGGACGTGGAACCCCCCAGCATGACCCCCCACCCATCCCAGCTGCCCACCTTGCTGGAGGGGACTCCAGCAGCTGAAGAACTGCCAGTATGTCCTTTCAGTCTCGTTGCCAGCCAGCCCGTGGATGGAGACCACGAAGGGACCCAAGTGATCGTAATTCACTGTCTTGAAGCTGCCGGGGAGGTGAGTGTGCTCAGGGCTGGGTGGGGGACGGAAACCCCTCCCCTTGTCCCCCACCCCGTCCCTCTGGCTCTCACCTAAAGATGTGGGGCTTTTCATCCCGTGCCACCTGCAGCACCCGCAGCAGCCTGGAGCCGGGTGGGACACACACCGAGGTGGAGTAGTGGAAGTAGTTCTTCATTGTGTTGGTGATGGAGTACTGCACCGTGAGGGGGGCTGTGGGGGAGGAGAGGGGCAGGGTGGGCAGCTGGAACACTCCCACGGAGAAAGGGGCAGGAGCACGGTCCCTGTGGGGCCTGGGGGGCTCCGGGTTGGAATGCCGTGTGTCACCTGCACTGGGGACAAGGGCAGCTGTCGGCTCGGGGGCGTTTGGGGGGGGCAGCACGGCCCTACCTGCGTTGAGGTAGGATGTGCCCACGAGGCCAGGCAGGACCCGGGCGATGGCCATGGGCTGTGTGTACTCCTGCTCGTGGGTCTGGACCACGTGGAAGGCCTGGGCACGGTCCCACCTCCGAGGGGCATAAAACTTCCTTGAGGACTCCAGAGCCTGCAGAGGAGGCAGGAGGTGGCACGAGCAGCCCAGGGGCAGAGCTGTGTGGCCGTGACCCCCCAGCCCCCTCCACACCTGTATGGCCAGCCCCCCAGCCCCCTCCACACCTGTATGGCCAGCCCCCCAGCCCCCTCCACACCTGTATGGCCAGCCCCCCAGCCCCCTCCACACCTGTATGGGCAGTCCCATGCTGGAGAGATTCCCGATCACGCCTTCCCCCTTCTCCTGCTCGTCCAGGAGGCCGTTGGTCACATTGCCCAGTGCCCACTGAATCAGGTGCTCCTGGTACGGGGCCGTGTTGTTCTCACACACCAGGGCCAGCACCGCCATGGCACGGGTGTCTGTGGGATCCTGGGGTCACTGCCAAGCCCTGGGTGGGCAGCAGGACTGTGGCAGTGCAGGGGGCTCAGCAGGGCTGGAGGGGTCCCTTACCCACATCGAGGTGGCTGTCAGGGCTCAGCAACTCCTTGGCCAGGGCCACGGCTGCACCTCGGTCGTGTTCCTTCACCACACACAGGGTCAGGATGTCCAGGCTCCTGTTGTACCAGCTGATCACTGCAAGGCAAAGAGGGGTGAGCTGGGAGAGTGGCACCCCCGGCCCCCTGTGCCCCCTGCCATCACACAGTACCGTTGTGGGTTATCTCCTCATGCATTTTCTGCTGCAGGATGGGGATCAGGTTGATGGGCTCTTCCGGGGCAGGGACCTGCCGGGGGTCCTGGCAGGACGAGAGGAGGGCAAGGATGTGCTCAGCCACCTGTCCTGAGGTCATGGCTGTGGGGACAAGAGGACACCGGGAGCGTGGTGGGATGGGACCTGTCCCCCCGGGAGCCGGCAGTGCCAAACCTGAGGAATCTGATCCCCCAGGATCAGGGGCCCCCCTCATTCCCTTCCCTACCTTTCTGGGCTCTCGTCACCACCTCCTCCTTGATCTCCTGGAGCAGCAACCTGTAGGTGGGACTCTCGATGTCCGCCCCAAGCAGGTTCATGGCCAGCAGGACGCTGGGGTTCGAGCGTGCGTGTGGCTGGATCGACTCCTCCATGCGCCGCAGCAGCTCCCGGACCAGCTGGTCACAGGAGGCCGTAGCCCAGCACCCCTCTGGCCCTGAGGGCAGGAGGTCCCCGGGACCCCCATGTCCCATCCCCTCCTGCCCCTGTAGTGTCACCGGGGTGTCTCCAGTGCCCCTGCAGGAGGAGGGACACTGACCACAGCCCTGTGTGACAGTGCCCCAGACCAGGGCCAGCAGGACCCCGAGGCCAAAAGCCACTCCTGGCATCCTCTGCCCTTGGGAAAGCTGATCCGCTCAGGGCAGCAGAGACCAGGGGCACTTGTCTCTCTGGGCCTCCTCCTGGCTTTTATCTGCTCCTGGTGCCATCCTTTGGTCACCTGCCCTGCCACACCTGCCCCAGCACTGCCACCTCATCTGTGTGGCAATGGAAGCAGCTGGAGGGTGTCACTGTCCCCATGGCTTGAGGAAGGGAGGGTCCTGTCTGACTGGTTTGATGTCCTGGATAAGATCCCCCATCCCAGAGATGGTGGAAGGTTTGTGGATGTTGTTTTTCAGGGTGTCAGGAAGAGTTTGGATCCCGTCCCTCCCAGCTCCTTCTGGAGACGGTGTCCATGGAATCCTGGAATGGTTGGGGCTGGAAGGTGCCTTGGAAGGGTCCATGTGGGAGATGAGCAGGTCCAGGCTGAAGGAGTGTCTGGGCAGGGCCCAGTGGGAGTAGGGAATGGGGCTCCACGTGCCTGGAGAGCAGTTGGGACCCAACTGGGAGGTGCTGGTGACTCCGGCCGGGGATCGAGTCCCAGAACCAGGTTTGGAATCGTTCTCCCCACCCCCAGCTGCAACCTTTGGGACCTCAGGCCACCACCTCCAGATTTCCGGGGGAGAAATCCAACTGGTGGCCTCAGGCTGATCCTAATTGGGATTGTAATAATCAAACCACATTATTACACCTGATTAATGCAATTAGAGCTTGTGCAGAGATCAGATTTATTGAACCTGAAGTACAGGAATGTGGCCAGAGGAACAACTCAGTGACTAGTGGGCAAGACTGGGAAGGGTTTTGCTGACACACAGGATGGGACTGACAGTCCAGAGTCTGGGTGAGGCTGGATTTATGTGGGATTGTGGGGAAGAGAAGAGGGAAGCTGAACTAATGAAGAAGAAAAGAAGGCAAAACAGGATCTGAGCCCTGTTTTCCCCAGGGACACAGAGGGACACGCTGGAATGGCCCTTTATTGCTCCCTGGTGGGATCCAGGGTCTCTTGGTGGCTTCAGTAGGTGCTGAAGATGGCCTGGATGTGCTCCCCGGAGTGTGGTTTGTAGGTTCCGACCCCTGTGGCAGAGGGATGTGTGAGGGTGGGACGTGGAGACCCCCAGCATGACCCCCCACCTTCCCTGACTGCCCACCTTGATCCAAAGGTTTCCCAGAGCTGAGGAACTGCCAGTAGGTCCTGTCATTGTCACTGCCAGCCAGCCCGTGGATGGAGACCACGAAGGGACCCCAGGACGTCTGCTCCGTCCTGAAGCTGCCGGGGAGGTGAGTGGGCTCAGGGCTGGGTGGGGAGATACCAAATCCCCCCCTCTGGCTCCTCTGGCTCTCACCTAAAGTTTTCGGGATCCATCTCCTCTGCCCTCTCCAGCACCTCGAGCAGTGTGGAGTCCCCTGGGACCGTCACCGAGATGCTGTAGTGCCAGGGGATTCCCTGCAGGTTGTTGGTGATGGAGTAGTGCACTGTGATGTCCTGGGACTCCCGTGGGGTCTGGGAGGCTCCAGGTGGGCTCATCATACCTGTGGGAACCCTGCGTGTCCCCAGGCTTGGGCACAGATCCGTGGGGGCACCGCAGTTCAGCGTGGCCGCATCCAGGTAGGACGTGCCCACGAGGGCCGGGAGCACCTGGGCGATGGCCATGGGCAGCTCGAAGGTGTGGTTGGTCACCACGGCAAAGGCCTGGGCACAGTCCCAGTCCCGAGGGGCGTAGAAGTCCCTTGAGGCCTCCAGTGCCTGCGGAAGAGGTGGGAGGTGGTGTGGCCAATCTGGGACCGGGACCGGGTGGCTGTGACGGCACGTTCCCCACCCCCGTACCTGCAGGGCCAGCCCCATGCTGTAGATGTTCCCGATCAGGCCGTTCCTCTCCTCCTGCTCATCCAGGAAGTCGTTGGTCACCGTCCAAACTGCCTCGTGGAGCAGATCCCGCACCTCCGGGTCCTCCACGCTGTCGTGGGCGCACAGCAGGGCCAGCACCGCCACGGCGCGGGTGTCTGCGGGTCCCGGGGTCACTGCCGAGCCCCGGAGAGCCCCCCGGAGCGGGAATGTGGGAGCAGAGGGATCTCTTACCCACACCGATGGGGCTGTTGGGGCTCAGCACCTCCTTGGCCAAGGCCACCGCTGGCCCCCGGTACCCGTCTGCCCTGGCCAGGCACAGGGCCGTGGTGTCCAGGCTCACGCTGAACAGGGTGGTTTTGGGATGGCCCTTGTCCTCTGGAAAACAGAGCAGTGAGATGATGGGATGCAGGGAGGTGGACACCCCCCAGGGCCCAGCGTACCCAGCTCGGCCATCTCCTCATCCGTTTTCTGCTGCAGGATGGAGATCAGGTCGATGGTCTGTCCCAGGGCGTGGACCTGCCGGGGGTCCTGGCAGGACGAGAGGAGGGCGAGGACGTGCTGAGCCACCTGTCCTGAGGTCATGGCTGTGGGGACAAGAGGACACCGGGAGCGTGGTGGGATGGGACCTGTCCCCCCGGGAGCTGGCAGTGCCAAACCTGCGGAATCTGATCCCCCAGGACCAGGGACCCCCCTCATTCCCTTCCCTACCTTTCTGGGCTCTCGTCACCACCTCCTCCTTGATCTCCTGGAGCAGCAACTTGTAGCTGGGACTCTGGGTGTCCACCCCAAGCAGGCTCATGGCCAGCAGGATGCTGGGATTCGGCACCTCTCCGGGCTTGATGGAGCCCTCCATGCTCTGGAGCAACCGGCAGACCAGGTCCTGCGGGGCCGCTGAAGGAGAGGGAAGGTCACCGGGATCCCCCGGCCCATCCACGGGCTCTCCGGAGTCTCCACCCTCTCCCACTCACCGCAGTGCTCCGTGGCCGTGCAGCCCAGCAGGGCCAGCAGGACCCCCGTGGCCAAAGCCAGGCCCAGCATCCTGTCGGGGCGCGCTGATCCGCTCGGGACGGCACAATCCCGCGGGAATTGGTCTCTCCGGGCGTCCTCGCTGCTTTTAACTGTTCCCAGGGACCTCCAGCCGCCCGTCCTCCCACGGTGCCAGCGGCTTATCTGTGTGTCCAACTGTGCCCGGCCGGGGAGGGACAGGGATTTTCCACCTGGGATCACTGGGCACCGCTTGGGCCAGATCCATATCCATGAGGCTGTGAGGCTGGCTGGGGTTCCCAGCAGGAACCTCCTTCAGTCATCCACCCAAGGTCCTGGAAGGCCCAGGAGGTCTGTGCTGGCTGGACTCTCTCCAGCTGTATCCCACTCGGGCTTTCCAGGAAACTCCAGCCCTGTTGATCTAACCTTGGTACCGGGAAAAACAGTGGGGAAGGACGTACTGGGCAGTACTGGGAAGCAATCCAAGGATTATTCTAGCATCAGGTGCGGGAAAACAGAGGGAAATTCCTGTCTAACTGGTTTCTTATCCCGCTACCATAAGGTCACCCAGGTGATGGGGAGGCACTGCACGTAATTTTGGGGATTTTAGAAGGAGTTTTGCTCCGGCCCCTTCACAGAATCCTTCTGGAGAAGGTGTCCAGCTGTGGGATGGGCAGGGACAGGGTGTGCTGGGCAAAGAACTGGCTGCTGTACTGGTTTCACTGGGATAGGGGCCATTTTATTCCAGGTACTGGGTTTGGATTCAGGCCAGGGATGCTGTGGGTCACACATGGACGAATTGGTGTGTTGTCACCGAGGACTCTGCAGTGTCCCATGGGAGAATCCATGTTTCCCATGCTCTGCCAGCCAGGAGGTGACACCATCATCATCCTCCTCACAACATCATCCCCGTGTCCTGCTTGGCCAACAATCTTCCATCTGCTCTGCTCCAGGGGGGCCTCCCGTGCCCCCCGGGAGCCCCTTTGTCCCCCTGAGCACTGGGGTGACCTGGGGCTGGGATGTCACACGGGAGTCCTCCCCTGCAGGGCTGTGACATTGCACAGCCACCCCCTGGCTCCCAGCAGGGTCCTGGCAGATTCCCCTAAGAAGGGGAGGTGACAGCCCCAAAATGCCTGAAAATTCACGAGGGGGGTGTGTGTAAAACACTGCAGAGTTCCTCATTTTTATGTATATTGGGAAATAATAGTATTTTATTTCAAAATCGATTTCAGAATAAACTCCCGTGTCTGGTGTGTTACAGACAGGACTTTATTCCACAGGAAAGTCTGAACGTGGACCTGTAGGGTTTGGAAATACAAACCAAACGTTTGTGTATAGAAATAAAACAATAAAGGACTTGGAAATGTGCCAGGTGACCTGCGTGGGGGAACAAGAAGCAGCTCTGCGTGTTCAGATGTTTGTTCTCTCTCCCCTCGCTGTGACTCCCCAAATCCGGGATCTGAGCCGGGATTTCAGGGGGGCTCATTAATTAACCCGCGGCGGCTCTTTGCGCTCAGTGCTGCCGTCTGCGGGGAACGCCCGGCACTGCAGCTCGGGAACGGGAACGGGAGCGGGAATGGGAGCGGGAATGGGAGCGGGACCGGGACCGGGAATGGGAATGGGAACGGGAATGGGAACGGGAATGGGAATGGGAACGGGAATGGGAACGGGAATGGGAATGGGAACGGGACTGGGAGCGGCACCGGGAATGGGAGCAGGACTGGGAATGGGAGCGGGACCGGGAATGGGAACAGGACCGGGAATGGGAGCGGGACCGGGAATGGGAACAGGACCGGGAATGGGAACGGGACCGGGAATGGGAACGGGACCGGGAATGGGAGCGGGAATGGGACCGGGAATGGGAACGGGACCGGGAATGGGAGCGGGACTGGGAACGGGAACGGGACCGGGAATGGGAACAGGACCGGGAATGAGAGCGGGAATGGGAACGGGAGTGGGAATAGGAGCGGCACCGGGAATGGGAACGGGACTGGGAGCGGGACCGGGAATGAGAGCGGGAATGGGACGGGGAGCGACACCGCCCGGGGATGAACCGAGCGGGGCTGCCCGGGCAAGGAGCGGGGGGTACGGGGGGCTCGGTGTCTCGGCTGAGTCTCGGTGTCCCTGATGGGTCTCGGTGTCCCGGCGCAGGGATCGGTGTCCCGGGATCGGTGTCCCGGATGGGTCTCGGTGTCCCGGCGCAGGGATCGGTGTCCCGGGATCGGTGTCCCTGATGGGTCTCGGTGTCCCGGCGCAGGGATCGGTGTCCCGGGATCGGTGTCCCGGATGGGTCTCGGTGTCCCGGTGGGATTCCCGGGAAGGCGGCGGCACCGGGAGCTGAGGGCTCGGGGCACCGGAGGCTCCGCTCGCCCACGCAGGTCCCGGGGCGTCACCGTCGGGGGGATTCTGCAGGGGACAAAGGGGACATGTTGGGGAGAGGGCGGACATTTTGGGGTAAGAATGAGGGAATCGGCGGTGGACAGGTAGGGAAAATCCCAGCCTGGATAAAATGGATAATAAAACCCACCTGGGAAATCAGAGCTGTTCCAGCAGCTTTTCTTCCCGTTGCTCCCCAGGTGTTTTCCTTATTTTCTGGTTTTCAGAAAGGAGCGTGGTTTGGGATGGCACAGCTGTGCAATTTTTTGGTCAGTTTTGGGTCAGTTTTAGGTCATTTTTTGGGGGAGACTTGGGTGAGTTTTGGAGCTGCTTTGGGGGGAGATTTGGGTCAGTTTTGGGTCATTTTTTGGGTGATTTGGGTGAGTTTGGGGTCAGTTTCGGGGATGATTTGGGTCATTTTTTGGGTCATTTTTTGGGAAGATTTGGGTCAGTTTTAGGTCAGTTTTTGGGGTGATTTGGGTCAGTTTCTGGTCAGTTTTTGGGGGTGATTTGGATCAGTTTCTGGTCAGTTTTTGGGGTGATTTGCGTCAGTTTTGGGTCATTTTTTTGGGGAGATTTGGGTCAGATTTGGGGAAGATTTGGATCAGTTTTGGGTCATTTTTTGGGGAGATTTGGGTCAATTTCGGGTGATTTTTTGGGGTGATTTGGGTCAGTTTCGGGTCATTTTTTGGGGAGATTTGTGTCAGTTCTGGTCAGTTTTTGGGGTGATTTGGGTCAGTTTTGGATCATTTTTTGGGGGAGATTTGGGTCAGTTTTATGATAATTTTTTTGGGACATTTGGGTCAGTTTTGGGTCATTTTTTGGGGTGATTTGAGTGAGTTTTGGGTCTTTTTTTTTGGAGATTTGGGTCAGTTTTGGGTCATCTTTTGCGGCGATTTGGGTCAGTTTCTGGTCATTTTTTTGGGGTGATTTGAGTCAGTTTTGGATATTTTTTGGGGGTGATTTGGGTCAGTGGTTTCGGTCATGTGGCAGAGACGCCCCCCTTTAGGCGGGACGAGGCCGCGATGCTCGACCAACGCCTTTGTGCCGGAGTGTAACATTTACAATGTATTAATTGCAATAGTTATAACATATGTCCCTCCTCCCCCACTGAATTATCTACGCTTTTATAATATGTATGAAAAGATGTTATGCATATGCGTAAAATATATAATACGTAAAATACGAAATACAAAAACTAATACTTCTTTGCTATAATGTTCAATTATTTTAATCATATTACACAATTAATTACTTACAAGAATATTAATATTAATCATTTCTCAATAAAAGCATTTTTTACTTCAAACTGTGGAAAATTAAAATTAATATACAATAATTAATGCTTATACAGCAACAGGTATTATAGGAGAATATATCATAACTATTAGGATGTAGTGCATATTAGTATATGCAAATATATTGAGAGTAGTGGTGGGGGGTGGCCGCCTTCCACGGGTCGGGAATTGTGCAAGCAAGACCTGTTATTCCTCCTGTGCGTGTGTCGGTTTGGCAGGGCTGGGAGAAGGAGGACTCGTGCGGGCACCTCCAGAGACAGCGGGAACGGGAGCGTGCTGCGGAGAAGGAAAATTCCAGGGGGTGGGTGCCGAGAAATTTGTCCTTCCCTCGCCCTGTGCTCTGCACTCAGCAATGGGTCAAGTGCAGAAGTTTCCAGGGGACCACCCTAAAAATAGCCAGTGGGGATCATCAAGTTTTCCAGCCAAGGAAAACAAGGACAGGGATGAGGGAATCGGGTTCCAATTAATAATGATTTGGTGGGTGTAGGACTGATTTCTATATATGTTACACGTCCTTCTTCTTCCTGGAAAGATTTTAAAAGTATTGTCTTAACACAACTAAATTGGAGATTTTGTATTTGAGAGGAAATGACGCAAAAGAAACGCAGGGAGAGAGCATGAAATCGTCCTGGAATCCTGCAGTTGATTTGGAAGGGACCTCAGGGATCATCTCCTTCCACCCCCTGCCACGGGCAGGGACACCTTCCCTAGACCATCCAGCCTGGCCTTGGCCACTTGCAGGGATGGGGCAGCCACAGCTTCTCTGTGCCAGGCCACCTCCCCACCCTCCCAGGGAAGAATGTCTCCTTATGTGCAATCTTTCCCTTTCTTCCCTGCAGGAAGTGGGCTGGGACAAGGGAATTGGCTCCCACGAGGCCGAGGATCAGAGCAGGCTCTGCACAGGGGACAACTTCCACTTCCGAACGGGGAAGGGCACCTTCGTCCCCACCCCCGGCACCGGGACGGAGTAACATCTGCCTGCAGCTGGCTGGAGTTCCCCTTGGCTCTGGGCTTTCTGCCCACGGGCCGGGGATCATGGCCAGAGTCCTTCAAACCTGGGCAACAGTGGCCTTCACAGCATCCCCGCAGCCCGTCCAGGGCAGGCTGCTGCCCATCAGCAGGTGGCTATGGAAGTGACGGTGTTTAGGGAACGCTGATTGTATTTCCCAAACTTTGGCAACGCGGTCATTAAAAAGAGAAAAATAAAAAGTCTGTGGAAATGCCCAGCACTTGGGAGCTTGCAGGCTCTGGGTTAAACTTGGCTCTCTAATGTTAAAACTGTGGTCGAGGGGCGGTGCCCGATCAGGGCCAGCGGCGGGGCCGGACGGGGCCGGCCCGGGGGTCCCTTCCCCGCGGGGTCGCAGCCGCGGGACCCGCCCCCGCCCCGCGCGGCCCCGCCCGGCGTTGGGGGCTGCGGCCGCTCCCGGCGCTGCCGAGGCTGCCGGGGAGGGACCGGCCTGTGCTGGGGGCACGGGGGTCGTTCCTTGAAAGGGTTTATTTGCCAAGGCAATAGGTGATATAGACGCGCGCCGGCCGTGCCCGAGAGGTTACATTTTATAGCATTATCCATCCAATCCCAGATGTGTCCACCCTTTGGCCCTTCCTCTGGTCCGCCCCGGGCCCTCCCCCTGAGAATTGGGTCTGGGGTCTTTTTGGGACCACTTACTTCATCATCTTCAACTTCATCAGAGTACAAAGGGTACATTGTTACCTAGTTTTTGACCGTACTCTGTGGTTTAGGCCCTGATACGCTGTTCTCCAAACAGTCTAGGCCTTTGCCTTGACAAAAGACTAAACACTGCTACTGGATTCAGAGGTAGGTTGATATAGAAGGCATAGAATGGGGTAAGAGGGTTAGGGAATGTGTAAACAAGGGAAAGGAACAAGGCACAAAGGGGTTTCTGCTTTTAAAACCTACCTATAAAATTTATAAATCTTACAAATATTAGAAAAATAAAAAAACCATTAGGGGCTTAAGGCATCACTTGGGTTCGAGGGCGGCAGCGGGAGCGGCGCTGCGGGGCGGGACGGGCGGGAGGGGCCGGGGGAGGGCGGGGAAGCCGCGGCGGGGCCCGGGGGCTGCAGCTCTCTGGCTTCCCGACTGGCTTTGCGGACATTTGCCACCTTCGGAGGAGGCACAAATCCCCGCGGAGCTGAGCGAGGGGTGCGGGGAGCGCAGCGAGCTGGGGCGGGGCTGTGACCAGGGCAGGGTGTGCGCAGTGCCCCAAAACCCGCCCGGAGCAGCCCCAGAGCCCAGAGCGAAGCGCCGCGGGATCGCGCCGGACCCGCCCCTCCACCCGCCCAGGCCCGCCCCCAGGCCCGCCCCCAGGCCCGCCCCCAGGCCCGCCCCCAGGCCCGCCCCTAGGCCCGCCCAGCCCCGCCCCACGACCCGCCCGGCCCCGCCCCTCGACCCGCCCCCCGGCTCGCGCCGGCCCCGCCGCCCGGCCCTGCCCTGCCCGCCCCCAAGAGCGCCGCCGTCCCCGCTGCCCGCCTCGCTCCCCTTATCCCGGGAGAGCTCCCGGCCGGGCCGTGACCGCGGAGCTCCCACCCGCCCTTCCCCGGCCCCAGCAGCGCCCGCCGGGGCTGCGGCGGCGGCGGCGGGAGCCGCGCTGAGGGAAAGGGGGGCGGGGCCGCGCCGAGGGGCGGGGCCGGGTGAGCGGGCGGGGCCGCAGGGCCGGGCGGGCTGGGATTGGGCGGCGGCGCTCGAGCGCTGATTGGGCAGCGCTGCCGGGCCGCGGTATAAAGGGCCGGCGGGGCGGGTGCGGGCGGTCGCGTGTGAGGGCTGAGGGTGCGGCCCCGCTGCTGCCCGGGCTGCGGAGGGGAGAGCGCCTTGGCCGCTGGGTTTGTGACCGGGGGAGCCGGGGGGCGTCTAGGGGCGCCTTGTGCTGGGCAGCGGGGGCCCAATTAAGTTTTATGGCTTGTTTTTCTTTTCTCTTCAGGTCATATTGACCTTACACTGTGTTCTCTTAATCAGCTCGAATCATTTTCTCAGTTTATCCCACTGTGCTCTCTAGCAAAACTACTGCCCTTGGGATGTGCAGGGGGAGGAAATGTTGGCCCCGTGTGGGCTGGAGCAAAGGTGTGTGGGTGCCTGTGTGTGACAGCCGTGGGTGTGCAGGAAGGGGGTTCTGGTGCCATTGGAGCTGCCAGGGAGCCAAAAGGGGCACAGTTGTCTGAAAAAGGCAAAAAGTCTCAGCCCCTGTTGACACCTGTACCAAAGGAGATGCAAATTTTCCCCTTCTTGGTTGCACAAAGCTCCCAGCAAAGGAAGTTTTAGATTCCAACTCCCCTTTATGCTAAAGGTTTCCTTGCTCTCTCAGCAGGATGTCGAGTGCCACCGTGTCCCTGAGGTCACCCTTTCTGCTGTTGGGAGAGCACGAGGTGGATGGAGAGGATCCCCAGGCATCTGCAGGCACAAGGGACTCGCACAGCTGTGATTTTCCTCCAGCCCTCGTGAGAGGGACTTTCAGGGTACCATGGGTCATGTGCCAGCTCTCCTGCTGGAGCTTTTGTCTGCTGTATTTGAACACAAAGAGTAGAACTAAAGTCAGGTCTGTTCTGGAGCCTGTTCCACTTGTGCAAAGCTCCTTCCCTCTGCTTATTTTCTGTTCTGGAAAGCACAGTCTGGGGTTCCTGGGCACTTGGTATTAAATGATACCATGGAAGTAATTTTGTAGTGAAAGGGGAAAGGAGCTGTCTGTGGGAGGTCAGATGTCCCTGATAAAAGCTTTATGCTTTTTCACTCAGTAAACTCTTAAAATATCTTACGGTGTGTAGGAATGCCTGGCTTCTAAAACTCACCAGCTGAGTCTTAGAGGTTTCTTTGCAGAGCTGATTTCAGGCAGCAGAATTGCCCCCCAGGAGGGACTCTGTGCCTGCTCTCCCGTGGCTCCAAGGGATCTCTGGCCCTTCACGCCGGCACCGAGATTTTCTCGGGAAGGGCCTCAGATCCCCGGGCCAGTCTGGGACACAGGCAAGATCCCCCTGCAGTTTAGGACCAACTTGCCCCCCCTGTAGGGACAGTGCTGTGGGTGCCCCCCGGGTTGGGGCACCCCGAGGACTCCAGCGCGCACCGAAAGGATTATTCGGGGAGATCCTCGGGGTGCCCGGCCCTGGGGAGCTCAAAGCAAGGTCCCTGCCATGGATTCAGGTATTGCTGAGAGTATCCCAGGGGTCCCTGTCCCTGCTAGACAGGGAGCTCTCTAATGGGCTGGAATTGGGTGATAAAAGTGGTGCTCCAAGTGCCAAAGAAGTGTGGGATTGGGATTAAGAAATGAGCGGTGAGGGTCCAATTGGCTGTTTTCTCTGGAATGTGACTGTGAGAGCTGCAGGAGTGCCAGGTGTGTGTTCCAGTCCCCAGCATTTGGTTTGCACCTGTCCTGGTCAGACACAGGTCCAACTTCCTCAGTCCTTAACCCAAGAGAGGGAGAATGAAGGACTGGCAGTGTTCAGGTGATTGGTGTGACAGGGGTCAAACTGGAAAACATTGGGTGATTCCTCAGTTTGTCTGTTTGCCAAACTTACCCAAACCTGTGCTAGGAAGACATGGAGTGTAAAAGTTGAGGCAGAAATGGAATTGAAAATGGGAATATTGACACTGTAATTGCTGAAACTCAATGTGTCCAAGCAGCAGCTCTTGTTGTGCAGGGAATAACTCCTGTCAGCAGCAAGGCCCCGACTGAAGTGGCAGCTGCAGCTGTTCCTGTGGTGTGGGCCAGTGGAACTGCAGGAGAGTGGAGGAGGGCAGAACCTGTAGGTATTACCCCTGGTGTGGGATCTCTCCTGGTAAGGCCAAGCCAGTATCCTTTAAAATCAGAATGGCAGCTTGGATTGGTTGCAGGAACAGCTGAATTTGCTCCTCCTGGTTTGCTTGTAGGACGTGAATGCAAGAACCTGCCAAGAAACCAATGGCCAAGATGATTGATTAGTGCAGGACCTGAGAGAAGCACCTTGAATGACAACCTCGAGGAGTTTCCAGTACTGGATTGCAAAGATGGCCTTTGCTGCATGTCCTTGAGCAAGGAAAGCCAAGAAACCTTTGCTTTGGAAGGAGAAAATCTGGAAAGCAGGAAGGAAGCACAGAAGCCACGTGACTCCCTCCCTTGAGTCCCCAAACAGATCCTAAACTGCCTCCCTGTGAAGGGTGGGACCGGGCGTGGCTCTGGATTTGGCTCCCTCTGCATGTTGGGGGGAAGACTGGTAGGGCTAACTGTTTTCAAGTAACTGTAATCATTTGCTGCCTTGGGTAGATGGTGCAAGGGTAGCCTTTAAGCAGCTAAAGCATTCCCTGAGGAGAGCTCTGGGTCTGCCAGATCTCTCAGAACTGTTGGAAGCATCTTTGGTGGGGAGGGCAAACAAAGGACAAGGTGTGCAGTGACCCCCCTGAGAAGGGACTTTGAGTCAATGGCTTCCCTGCAAGTGAACTTTGTGGGCTGTTCCCCCTGTAGGGCAGGTGATGTTCCCAGCTACAGTGATGGGAAAAATGGTTAAAAGAAAGCCCCAAAAGCTGGAAATCCTCCTGGAGGCTCTTGGCAAAGAGAGTTTCCTGCGTTCCCCCTGCAAGAAGGACAGTGATAGCTTTTGAGTGCTGGTAGATGCTTTGAATAGATAGCCTTGAGTGTGTCCTTGTTGCCCCAGTAGGCCTTGTCCGAGTCCCCATATTCCAGGAGATGTACATATTGAAGTTTGAAATGCTCTTCCTAATCCTTTGTTGTCTTGAGGCTCTCCCCTCAGGAACTGCAGGAACTCCTGGTGCCGCCTGGGCCGATGGATTGGACGCCCCAGCCCCTCCGTTCCTGCCCAGCCCCTGGGGCCGTGTCCAGTGGTGGCACTGCCAGCCCTGCAGGGGAAGTGGGAAGGGCCTTTGCAGGTCTTGTGGGTCACATTGATAGCAGGTAAAGTTGCAGTAAAAGGACCTGGGGTCTGTTCTCCTTGAGTTCAGAAAGCTCCTTTTGGTTGGTGAGCAGAACCAAGTGGATCCTTCAGAGTTCCCACCCGTGTTTGTGTCTCAGCCTGTGTTAGGATTCAGGGCTGTCAGTTGTTGTCACTGAGGAGTCAAACTGTGCTTTAAATAATGAGACCCTGGCCTGGTGGCCCAGTGTCAAGGCAAAAGGTGGAATGATATCTGAGTGTTGAGATGTAACAAGAGCTAATCCTTTTTGCAGTGGGATGGAGCCTGGAAAGTGCACAGAGCTGAGCCCAGGGATTGAAAGGGACCAACCAAAGGAGGTGAAGAAACAAAGAAGAAGGGAAGTGAGGCAGCAGCCAAGCAGCACCAAGTTGCTGTGTAAGCAGGTGAGTTGCCTTGAGGTTCCTCAGGCAGGCCCTGAGGACTTGGAGGGCTCCAGACAGAGCAGAGCTGGGAAGGCCCTCAGTGAAGCCCCTTGGAAACCTTCTAAGGGTAGGTGTGTATGGTGATAAGTGTTGGGAAATGCCCTGAATGTGGAACAGGAATGCAGGGAAGGAAAATGAACCCTCTTGTATTGCTGACCCCTCCCATCATCTGCAGTGGGGACACCTCTGTGTGCCCTTTGGGAGCTGATTGCCAGGGCCCCTGGTGGGCTGGAATGGTTCAAGAGCATAGGAATCAAAGATTGCCTGGCTTCTAAAACTCATCAGTTGAGTCTCAGAGGTTCTTGTAAGAAATTTTAGGTAACACCTGAAGTTTTGTGTGTACTTCTGAGTTCAGTTGGAAAGAGATTGTCCAGGGAACAGGAATGTTTCTCATTCCAGGAAGTTGCCCTTGATGAACTTCGCATCTGAGCTGATGCCCTTGGCAGGAGAGGTGCTCAGCAAGGAGGCTCTTTGCTGCTAGGCAGGAAGCAAGGCCAGTGCCCTTCCTCCCCAAGGCCCAGCCCAGCAGGGCTGGCAGGAGCTGCTGGTGTGGCTGCTCTTTGGGTTCTCAGCTGTGCCCGTGGGGTGGTGACATCGTGTTCCTGCCTGTGCTCCAGGGCAGCCAAAAAGCCCCAGCCCAGCCCCTGGGTCTTTCTGGGAGCCTGAGCTATTGTAGCACTGGGGATGGGGGTTTGGGTTTTTGTTTCCCTAAAAGTAGAACCATCTCTTATTTCACAGTTGTTGTTGTTTTGATATCTTAATTAATTACAACTTTAGAAGAAAACCTTGTGTAACTTAGGAACTGACTTGCACTGGTTCCACTGAAAGTGCCAAGGAGTTGTAGTGTCCACTGGATTGTTTGTATTGAAGCAGTTTGGTGTTTACAGAGGGATAATAACTCCTGTCAGCAGCAAGGTCCCGACTGAAGTGGCAGCTGCAGTTGTTCCTGTGGTGTGGGCCAGTGGAATTCCAAGCAAATGGACAAGGACAGAAGCTGTAAGAATTACCCCTAAGCCAGAGTCTCTCCTGGTAAGGCAAACCCAGTATCCTTTAAAATTAGGAAGCCAAGCTGGATTGGTTCTAGTAAGAGCTAAATTTGCTGATCATGGTTTGATAGTAGAATGTGAATGCAAGGAGCTGTAGAGAAAGCAAATGGGAAAGATGATTGATTGCTGGGAGCAGGGGCTGGCAGACAGTGGCACTGGCTGTTTGGTTGTGGTTGGGAATGAGCAGCTTGACCTGCCCAGGGTTGTCTGTGCTGGGGGTGGGTTTGGGTCCTGTGTGGCCACAGGTCTGTGCAGCAGCTGGAGCCTGGGCAGGTTTGGGTCTGTGGTGTGCCAGGCTGCTGAGTGTGTTGTCCCTGTTTCCTTGGAGTGTCCCAGTGTCCCTGCTTGGCTGTTTGTTGCCCTGCAGGCAGAAGAGCCCAGGCCTGAGATGGCTGAGTGTTGGTGTGAGCCACAGTGGGTGTCCCTGCCCTCGGGACAGTCCCCAGAGCTGCCTTTGGCATCCCCTGCTGAAGGGTGGGAGCTGCCCAGAGCCAGCAGCATCCAGCTGGAGGATCCAGGAGGATGCAGCTCCTGTTGTCTGGGAGGTAAGAGGTGGGGTGCAGGAGCTGGCAGGGGTGTTTTGCAGGCAGAGGGAGGGCAGGAGCAGGAGAATTGCAGGTGCAGCAGCTGGGTCAGTGCTGGATGGAGTCAGGCTGGGAAAGGGCCCTGAGTGTCAGGGCAGGGGAGAGCCCAGGGTGGCCCTGGGAGCCCTGGGGCTGTGACCAAGTGCAGTGGGCAAAGGAAGGGGCACTGGAGAGCTGGGCAAACAGCTGGAGGAGTTGCAAGGGGAACCAGGAGACTGGAATGCAGGAGCAGCAGCTCCCTGTGTGTGTGTGTAGAACCAGGTGTTCTGCAGCCCCAGTGAGGTGGGAAATGAAGCTCAGGAGGCTGGGAACGAGTCCCACACACTGGTTAAAGTGGGATGGACTCTTCCCAAGTGTCTGAAAAGCTTTTCTTTACTGTTGCTTTTATCAGTTGAAAACTGGAGTGATTGTTGAGGTGTTGGCACTTGTTTTCCTGTGTCTTTGGTGAGGTGTTGACTCAATACCTTCCTTGGAGCTGCTGTTGGATGAAGAGGTGCCCCCAATTGACCTGGAAGGTCCTGGTTTTCTTCCCTGCTTCTCCCAGCTTGTCCAGGAGATGGAATTCCAGTGCTACAGTCTGGGTGGGTCGTGGTGCTCCCAAAAGGAGCCTTTGTGCCTTCAGGGCAGGTTCTGGTGCCCCTGGAGCTGTTGGGAGAAGCGGAGGGTTGGCAGGGAGAGGCCTGGAATGATGTTGTTGTGGCACAGAAGAAATGAGCAGTGATGGTACAATTGGCTATATTCTCTTGAATGCAATTATAATAGCTCTAGGAGTGCCAGGTGTGTGTTCCAGTCCCCAGCATTTGGTTTGCACTTGTCCTGCTCAGACACAGGTACAACTGCCTCAGTCCTTAACCCAATAGAGGGAGAATTAAGGACTGGCAGTGTTAACGTGATTGGTGTGACAGGGGTGAAACTGGGAAAACATTGGGGAATTGCTCAGTTGGTCTATTTGCCAAACTCACCCAAACCTGTGCTAGGAAGAGACTTCCTGAAAAACTTGAGGCAGAAATGAAATGGAAAACAGGGGCTATTTAAACTGTAATTGCTGAAACTCAATGTGTCCAAGCAGCAGCTCTTGTTGTGCAGGGAATAACTCCTGTCAGCAGCAAGGCCCCGACTGAAGTGGCAGCTGCAGCTGTTCCTGTGGTGTGGGCCAGTGGAACTGCAGGAGAGTGGAAGAGGGCAGAACCTGTAGGTATTACCCCTGGTGTGGGATCTCTCCTGGTAAGGCCAAGCCAGTATCCTTTAAAATCAGAATGGCAGCTTGGATTGGTTGCAGGAACAGCTGAATTTGCTCATCCTGGTTTGCTTGTAGGTCCTGAATGCAAGAACCTGCCAAGGAACCAATGGCCAAGGGGATTGATGAGTGCAGGACCTGAGAGAAGCACCTTGAATGACAACCTTGAGTAGTTTCCAGTATTGGATTGAAAAGATGGCCTTTGCTGCATGTCCTTGAGCAAGAAAAGCCAAGAAAGCTTTGCTTTGGAAGGAGAAAATCTGGAAAGCAGGAAGGAAGCAAAGAAGCCCCGTGACTCCTCCCTGAGCCCCAGGCAGCCCCTGAACTGCCTCCCTGGGAATGGTGGGACGGGCTGGACTCTGGATTGCTCCCTCTGCATGTGTGGTAAGACTGTTATGCCAACTTTACAGAACAGCCTGTAAGCATTTGCTGCCTTGGCTAGATGGTGCAAGGGCAGCCTTTAAGCAGCTGAAGCCTTCCCTGAGGAGAGCTCTGGGTCTGCCAGATGTGTCAGAAGTGTTGGAAGCATCTTTGGTGGGGAGGGCAAAGAAAGGCCAAGGTGTGCAGTGACCCCCCTGAGAAGGGACTTTGAGTTAATGGCATCCCTGCAAGTGAACTTTGTGGGCTGTTCCCCCTGTAGGGCAGGTGACAGTCCCAGCTACAGGGATGGGAAAAATAATTAAAAGGGAGCCCCAAAAGCTGGAAATCCTGCTGGAGGCTCTTGGCAAAGAGAGTTTGCTGAGTTCCCCCTGCAAGAAGGACAGTGACAGCTTTTGAGTGCTGGTAGATCCTTTGAATAGACAGCCTTGAGTGTGTCCTTGTTGCCCCAGTAGGCCTTGTCCAACTCCCCATATTGCAGGAGATATACATATTAAAGTTTCAAATGATCCTTTTCCTAATCCTTTGTTGTCTTGAGGCTCTCCCCTCAGGAACTGCAGGAACTCCTGGTGCCGCCTGGGCCGATGGATTGGACGCCCCAGCCCCTCCGTTCCTGCCCAGCCACTGGGGCCGTGTCCAGTGGTGGCACTGCCAGCCCTGCAGGGGAAGTGGGAAGGGCCTTTGCAGGTCTTGTGGGTCACATTGATAGCAGGTAAAATTGCAGTAAAAGGATGTTGGGTCTGTTATTCTTGAGTTCAGAAAGCTCCTTTTGATTGGTGAGCAGGACAAAGTGGATCCTTAGGGTCAAGTATGAAGTGGGAATGATATGTCCATGTTGAGATGTAACAAGAGCTGATCCTTTTTGCAGTGGGATGTAGCCTGGAAAGTGCCCAGAGCTGAGCCCAGGGATTGAAAGGGACCAAGCAAGGGAGGTGAAGAAAGAAGGAAGAAGGGAAGTGAGGCAGCAGCCAAGCAGCACCAAGTTGCTGTGTAAGCAGGTGAGTTGTGTTGAGGTTCCTCAGGCAGGCCCTGAGGACTTTGAGGGCTCCAGACAGAGCAGACCTGGGAAGGCCCTCAGTGAAGCCCCTTGGAAACGTTCTAAGGGTAGGTGTGTGTAGTTAATAAGTGTTGGAGTATGTCCTGAATGTGGAACAGGAATGCAGGGAAGGAAAATGAACCCTCCTGTAATGGTGACCCCTCCCATCAGCTGCAGTGGAGACCCCTCCGTGTGCCCTTTGGGAGCTGATTGCCAGGACCCCCGTGGGGCTGGGATCATGGCAGGGTGTTGTAAGCAAGGAATACCTGGCTTGGAAAACTCACCAGCTGAGTCCTAGAGGCTTCTCTGAAGAGCTGATTTCAGGCAGCAGAATTGCCCCCCAGGAGGGACTCTGTGCCTGCTCTCCCGTGGCTCCAAGGGATCTCTGGCCCTTCACGCCGGCACCGAGATTTTCTCGGGAAGGGCCTCAGATCCCCGGACCAGTCTGGGACACAGGCAAGATCCCCCTGCAGTTTAGGACCAACTTGGCCCCCTGGAGGGACAGTGCTGTGGGTGCCCCCCGGGTTGGGGCACCCCGAGGACTCCAGCGCGCACCGAAAGGATTCTTCGGGGAGATCCTCGGGGTGCCCGGCCCTGGGGAGCTCAAAGCAAGGTCCCTGCCATGGATTCAGGCATTGCTGAGAGTATCCCAGGGGTCCCTGTCCCTGCTAGACATGGAGCTCTCTAATGGGCTGCAATTGGGTGATAAAAGTGGTGCTCCAAGTGCCAAAGAAGTGTGGGATTGGGATTAAGAAATGAGCAGGGAGGGTCCAATTGGCTGTTTTCTCTGGAATGTGACTGTGAGAGCTGCAGGAGTGCCAGGTGTGTGTTCCAGTCCCCAGCATTTGGTTTGCACCTGTCCTGGTCAGACACAGGTCCAACTTCCTCAGTCCTTAACCCAAGAGAGGGAGAATGAAGGGCTGGCAGTGTTCAGGTGATTGGTGTGACAGGGGTTAAACTGGAAAACACTGGGTAGTTCCTCAGTTTCTCTATTTGCCAAACTCACCCAAACCTGTGCTAGGAAGAGATTCACTGGAAAAAGTTGAGGCAGAAATGAAATGGAAAATGGGGATATTGACACTGTAATTGCTGAAACTCAATGTGTCCAAGCAGCAGCTCTTGTTGTGCAGGGAATAACTCCTGTCAGCAGCAAGGCCCCGACTGAAGTGGCAGCTGCAGCTGTTCCTGTGGTGTGGGCCAGTGGAACTGCAGGAGAGTGGAAGAGGGCAGAACCTGTAGGTATTACCCCTGGTGTGGGATCTCTCCTGGTAAGGCCAAGCCAGTATCCTTTAAAATCAGGATGCCAGCTTGGATTGGTTGCAGGAACAGCTGAATTTGCTCCTCCTGGTTTGCTTGTAGGACGTGAATGCAAGAACCTGCCAAGGAACCAATGGCCAAGATGATTGATGAGTGCAGGACCTGAGAGAAGCACCTTGAATGACAACCTTGAGGAGTTTCCAGTATTGGATTGCAAAGATGGCCTTGGCTGCATGTCCTTGAGCAAGGAAAGCCAAGAAAGCTTTGCTTTGGAAGGAGAAAATCTGGAAAGCAGGAAGGAAGAAAAGAAGCCCCGTGACTCCTCCCTGAGCCCCAAACAGCCCCTGAACTGCCTCCCTGGGAATGGTGGGACGGGCTGGACTCTGGATTGCTCCCTCTGCATGTGTGGTAAGACTGTTAGGGCAACTTTTCCAAGAGCCTGTAAGCATTTGCTGCCTTGGCTAGATGGTGCAAGGGCAGCCTTTAAGCAGCTGAAGCCTTCCCTGAGGAGAGCTCTGGGTCTGCCAGATGTGTCAGAAGTGTTGGAATCATCTTTGGTGGGGAGGGCAAAGAAAGGCCAAGGTGTGCAGTGACCCCCTGAGAAGGGACTTTGAGTTAATGGCATCCCTGCAAGTGAACTTTGTGGGCTGTTCCCCCTGTAGGGCAGGTGACAGTCCCAGCTACAGTGATGGGAAAAATAGTTAAAAGGGAGCCCCAAAAGCTGGAAATCCTCCTGGAGGCTCTTGGCAAAGAGAGTTTGCTGAGTTCCCCCTGACAGAAGGACAGTGACAGCTTTTGAGTGCTGGTAGATCCTTTGAATAGACAGCCTTGAGTGTGTCCTTGTTGCCCCAGTAGACCTTGTCCAACTCCCCTTCTTCCAGGGGATATAGATATTAAAGTTTGAAATGCTCTTCCTAATCCTTTGTTGGCTTGAGGCTCTCCCCTCAGGAACTGCAGGAACTCCTGGTGCCGCCTGGGCCGATGGATTGGACGCCCCAGCCCCTCCGTTCCTGCCCAGCCCCTGGGGCCGTGTCCAGTGGTGGCACTGCCAGCCCTGCAGGGGAAGTGGGAAGGGCCTTTGCAGGTCTTGTGGGTCACATTGATAGCAGGTAAAATTGCAGTAAAAGGACCTGGGGTCTGTTCTCCTTGAGTTCAGAAAGCTCCTTTTGGTTGGTGAGCAGAACCAAGTGGATCCTTCAGAGTTCCCATCCGTGTTTGTGTCTCAGCCTGTGTTAGGATTCAGGGCTGTCAGTTGTTGTCACTGAGGAGTCAAACTGTGCTTTAAATAAGGAGACCCTGGCCTGATGGCCCAGTGTCAAGGCAAAAGGGGGAATGATATGTGAGTGTTGAGATGTAACAAGGGCTAATCCTTTTTGCAGTGGGATGGAGCCTGGAAAGTGCCCAGAGCTGAGCCCAGGGATTGAAAGGGACCAAGCAAGGGAGGTGAAGAAAGAAGGAAGAAGGGAAGTGAGGCAGCAGCCAAGCAGCACCAAGTTGCTGTGTCAGCAGGTGAGTTGTGTTGAGGTTCCTCAGGCAGGCCCTGAGGACTTGGAGGGCTCCAGACAGAGCAGAGCTGGGAAGGCCCTCGGTGAAGCTCCTCGGAAACCTTCTAAGGGTAGGTGTGTATGGTGATAAGTGCTGGGAAATGTCCTGAATGTGGAACAGGAAGGCAGGGAAGGAAAATGAGCCCTCCTGTAATGGTGACCCCTCCCATCAGCTGCAGTGGAGACCCCTCCGTGTGCCCTTTGGGGGCTGATTGCCAGGACCCCCATGGGGCTGGGATCATGGCAGGGTGTTGTAAGCAAGGAATGCCTGGCTTGGAAAACTCACCAGCTGAGCCTTAGAGGCTTCTCTGAAGAGCTGATTTCAGGCAGCAGAATTGCCCCCCAGGAGGGACTCTGTGCCTGCTCTCCCGTGGCTCCAAGGGATCTCTGGCCCTTCACGCCGGCACCGAGATTTTCTCGGGAAGGGCCTCAGATCCCCGGACCAGTCTGGGACACAGGCAAGATCCCCCTGCAGTTTAGGACCAACTTGGGCCCCCCGGAGGGACAGTGCTGTTGGTGCCCCCCGGGTTGGGGCACCCCGAGGACTCCAGCGCGCACCGAAAGGATTATTCGGGGAGATCCTCGGGGTGCCCGGCCCTGGGGAGTTCAAAGCAAGGTCCCTGCACTGGATTCAGGCATTGCTGAGAGTATCCCAGGTGTAGCTGTCCATGCTAGACATGGAGCTCTCTACTGGACTGTAATTGGGTTCTAAAAGTGGTGCTCCAAGTGCAAAGGAAGTGTGGGATTGGGGTTAAGAAACGAGCAGTGATGGTCCAATTGGCTGTTTTCTCTTGAATGCAATGGTAAGAGCTGCAGGAGTGCCAGGTGTGTGTTCCAGTCCCCAGCATTTGGTTTGCACCTGTCCTGGTCAGACACAGGTCCAACTTCCTCAGTCCTTAACCCAAGAGAGGGAGAATTAAGGGCTGGCCGTGTTCAGGTGATTGGTGTGACAGGGGTTAAACTGGGAAAACATTGGGGAATTCCTGAGTCTCTCTATTTGCCAAACTCACCCAAACCTGTGCTAGGAAGAGGTGGACTGGAGTCCCTGATCCCCTGGGCAGTTGTCCTGCATGACCTGGGAGCCTCTGGGTTAGACTGGCCTGGGCAGACAGGGAGCAGTTTGTCCTGTGGAGCTGGGCTGGGTTTGTTCAGGATGCCTTGGGAGGCAGGGCTGGAGAGGCTCCTCTGTTGGCTGTAGTGCTGGAAGGTTGTAGCAGCAGGGATGGAGCCTTCGACCTCCTGCTCCCCCCGTGAGCCCCGACGGGACCGTGCCCTTGGCAAGGGAGGGCCCCCCATTGCTGAGCCAGCGGTTCCGGGGCCAGGAGGGATGGGATCAGGATGCCCAGCTCCACCCAGGGCCAGGGCTGCCAGTGTTCAACCATGGAGGGAACTGAAAGCAGAGTGAGATGGAGACCAAGCTCCAGCACAAGGATGGGTGAGAAAAGACCCTGGTCCTCAGGTGGAGCTTTGAATTCCTTGGAAAATGGATCCTGTCAGATGGATCAGGCCCTGGTGGGTGCTGGAGCAGAGGCCTCTGTGATTTATGGTCACCCTGAAAGGTTGCAAGGACAGCAAGTTTTGACTGCAGGATGAGGTGGCAAACCAAGTGAAGTGGTGCAGAGAAAAGCTGAGGCTGAAACTGGTCCTGTGCCAGAGCAGCCTCGTGCAGTGCTTGTTGCTGTCCCTGAGTGTCCCATTGCAGTGGATATTTCCAAGGGGGCCTTGTGCTGGGGAGCACTGGGGGCAGTTCCCTTTCCCTGGGCAGGGCAGGCAGGGCACGTTTCCCCCCTCGAGGGTGGCTCCACAGTCCCCCCCTGTGCCCTGGGAGCGTGGCAGAACACCTGGAGCCACTGTCCTTGTCAGAGAGGGCACAAGGGATGGTTGGATGGGTGAGGGAATGGTTCAGGGAGTACAAGCACCATTAGAATGAGTAGTGCAGCACCTGGAAAGGAAGGGGGGAGTTAATCCAGACCAAATCCAAGCACCTGCCCAACCTGTGATATTTTTAGGAACTCAGAGGTGCTGTGGTCCCCAGGAAGTTTTGCCCAGGACTAGGCAGGAGACTTCAGGCTTGGTCACCCCCAGAGCCAGGTGGCAGCCCAGCAGTTTATTGGTTGGTTTGGCTTTTGGTGACAACCAGGTCCTCCTTTGGGACCAATCCTTGGCCTGGGCCATGAAGTCCCAGGACAGATCTGTGAGTTTGAGTGGGAAATGAGCAGCAGGGAGGGTTGGAGACAGCTCAGGGAGCAATTCAACAGGCTCAGGACCTGTGGCCAATCTGAGCCAGAGAGGGGGAACTGAAGGTTCCTGCCAGTGGTAATGGTGCCAGTTGTAGCCTCTGGCAGAAGTAGGGTGGGAAGGAAGTGCCTTTAGGATTTGGGAATAGGAAGTTACTGGGAATAGGAAGTTACTGGAAGCCAGCCCAAGGTAGCCCCTGTTGGAGAAGGGGCTCTGAGTATGTTCTTGGGCTTTAGTGGAAATCCCCAGAAGGCCGTGGGTACAAAGCTCCTCCAGGGTGCACAGGCCAGGCCCTGCTCAGGAAGGCAGCACCATGGAATGGAGATGGTGTATCCAAGCCAGAGCCAGAGCAGGGGGCGGGGCAGGAGCGAGGCCTCGGGAGGGAGTTGCCAAGGGCCCTGTGGTTGAAGCAACAAGTGTAGATCCCCTGGACAGTGAGCACAAATCACTGGGAAATGGGGAAAAGCCCCAGAGCAAGTGCTGGGAGCAGAGAGGGAGCATGCCTGGCTCACTGCTGGGTCAGCCCCATCTGTCAGTGGGAAGCACTTTGGGAAAGCAGGAGCTTATAACCCGTGCCAGAGGGGGGAGGCAAAAGTCGTCCATGAGCTGCATGAGATGCCCCACCTGTGGGAATGAAACAGGACCATGGGAATATGTTGGTGTGAATAACTGTTAGTGGAGGGAATGCCATTGCCATGTTTGAGCTTGATGTCTTACAGAGACTGTGGGTCCTGGCCATCCTCAGAGCCCTTGTGGTCCCTCTGGGCGATGCTGTTGGCCCGGGCAGTGCCCTGGGAAAGGTGCCTGGGTCGGGTGCCTTGGTTTGATTTGGATGGAGATGGAAAAGCAGCTCCAAACCAGGCCCCCAGGACAAGGTGCCCCAGGAAGCAAATGGCCCTTGGCCAGGGGTCAGTGTCCCTTTGTGCCCGGGGGGACTCTCTGGCAGGGCCGGGGTCTGTCGGGCTCATTGTGCGGGCGGCTGTTGGTGCCCTCAGTGGGATGGGATGGATGTGATTCCAGGGGCTGGGAGCACTGTTGCCATGCAGTGCTGTAGTTTCCCTTACGGTGCTGGGTCCGGGGGGTCTCCCTGGCATCGTTGTCCCCCTGTGTGAGCGGTGCCAGTCCCAGCCCCAGTGTCCCAGCAGCAGGGCCGTCCCCTGGGCTCTGCCTGCGGGGCTGTTCTGGGGAAGTGCTGCCAAAAGAGCAAAGGGATCAGCTGGGGCAGGGGGTGGCACAGTTGGGCATCATCCTCCTGTGGCAAATATTGATCAGGGTAGTAATTTATGAACTGGGCTGAGTGCACGTGCCATAGTGTGTCTACTGTAATAGAAAGAAATGAGGCACAGACTGACCTAACGAGTACCAATGAACTGACCTGGAGGACTGGATTCACATCCTGGATTGCAAAAATTAACTGGATTTTATCTCCTGAATCACTGCAGGGCATCGACTGATGTTGTGCTGGAAAAATAACACACTTCAGGGTAAGTCAACCAGGGAGTTTTTGTAGGTAAGAGCAAATTATTGCCCTGCAACTTTGAAAGAAGCCTTGACTCGATCACCAACTGCAAGCAGTAAATATAGGGGTCAATGAGTGACCTTTGGGCATTAGGTAGAACAACTCCCTGCTCCCCACTGGTGGGACACATTTACAGCATTCTCACCATCTGCTCCCACGTTTTTGAACACTTGAATCCATCCAGTAATCGCAGTAATTGTACTGATTTTATGCACAAAATGGAGTTGTTGTCTATGGGATCCATTCCAGGAGTTGTTTCTCGTGCGTCTCTGCCCTGCCCAGGGATCAAAGGCCCAAAGGGAAAGGATGAGAAGTTCCCTGAGAATTGAGCCCCGGGGCTGCTGCCCCTGAGGAGCAGGGTAAGGGCTGTGTGTGCTCAGGGGCCACAGTTCTGTCTCTGGGGGCAATCAGGATGTGAGGCCTTGCTCCTTTCCTTTTGTATCCCCTAAATCTGTAGTTGAGGTGTTGGATTGTGTTTGTTCAAACTGTTCCTATTATTCCCTGACTAAGGAGGAGTTGTGTCCTTGAGTGCCCTGCCTGTCAGCAAAACACCAGGCCCAAAGGATCCTGGCAAGTGCAGCCCTGGAAGAGTCAGGAAGACTCAAAAATGCCCCAGTTCTCATGAAGCTCAACTATGTAAAACATTTATGAAGCTAAAATTCCACAGCCTTGAGCTGTTGGGTCCCAAAGAGTAGTGGAGGGAGAGGCAGAGAATGCCCCTGCTGCTGGGGCTGAACTGTGTGCAGTGAGGGGGCAGGACTTGGCCCTGATGCCTGAGTGCTCTCCAGCCCCCCAGGCTGGATCCCAGCTGTCAGCCCCTGGCTCCAGCCCTTGAGAAGATGGTGTTCCTGCCAGCCCAGCTGCTGGGCTGGTGGTCCTGGGGGCACCTCCTGCCCTGGCCTGCTGGGAAGGTGTTTGTGCTGCAGCTCAATAAAGTCCCTTTCAGTGGTGATGGTGTCACTTTGGTGTCAGTTCCTCTCCCCTCTTCCCCTGCCCCCGTGGCTGCATCACTGCCTTGTGCCTAAATGAACTCTTCCCCTGCAGCAGTTCCCTGCTGCTCCCGGAGAGGGTGGAGCTGAGGCCCCTGAGCCAAGGGAAAAAGGATCCATCCAAGGCAGGCCCGTGCTCCCCCCCTGCCTTCCTCCAGCCTCCTGTGTTTCCAGTTCCCCTCCCTGCTGGACACACAGCCTGTTCCCAAACAACCCCTGTTCCTGTTCTCTCTCTGTGTCTCCCCTCCCAACTCCCCTCCTATGATCTCCAGCTGCCCAGGCCCCTGGTTTTGAGGGGCATTCCTGGGCTGCTGCCCCCCCATTCTTTATAAATGAAGTGCCCAGAGCCCCAAGTGCAGAGAGGTCTGCAGGGAATCAGTGCCAAGAGCTGCCCGTGCCTGCCTGTGTTCCTGCAGTTCTCCTTCCTGCTCTCCCTGGGCTGGAGAGACC